ACTTTATTTTAATTTGTAGCTTAATTTGCATTTACTTTTAGTAATATTCATGTAATTTCCATTAAATAAAACTAAAATAATAAAATAAAATAATACTCACAAAATGCTGGGCCATCTGGCTTAAGTTGTAGTTCCCTGAGGCACAAACGTAATTACATTAGTACATGTTTTCCTGTTTGCCCACACTTGCTCAAGACTGCACGATTTGCAGTTTTCAATCCTGAATGAAGCTTGTTTTTAGCTACGTCTTACTAGAACGAAATTTGGTATGTGACCGAGTTGTGACCGGTTGCTGGTGAGGTAGCAAATGGTGATCCAAAGAGAGACAAAATGCGTACAAAACAAACAAAAACTTAATGGCCAATTCATGAAGAAGAAATACAATAAAAAAACACTAGGAAAATGAAAGGAAAGATACAGGAAAAGGGGAAAAAAAGGGCAATATAGCACAACTCCAGCGAGGGGAGAACTCTACAGAGCTATGTCCTACAGGCTTTACTAGTAAACTTGGCTACTGAAACTATACTAATGCGTAGAAACTCTACATGCAGGCGTATTTATATCGTGCTGAAAACAAACTGCCCGCATCCTGTTATAAGCAATACGATTGGACAACTACAGTATAGCTACATGTAGGTAAGCCACAAAACAGTGAAACCTTCCTGTTGGCAATACACCTGTTTGTAAAACGTGATTATCGCTTTACCGCAGAATACATATGTATTCTGTTATCATAACAGGAGGAAACAAATGGAGTGCTTGGCGGAAAACTACATGTACAGCAATGGCGACAAATTAAAGCACACTAAAATCAATAAAATTCTTTCCTGCTTAAGGGTGTAACAGCGGAGAAATAGCAGAGCTAGATAAAACACGGGTAACCACAAAGCAGAACCTAAAGAAACGCGTACCATGAGAAAACAATAAACGGAACCGCAAAAATGATACTGAAAAGAAAAATATTAATGCTTTGTGAGCTAATTATTCAGCTTGGTTACACGTACCAGGAATCAATTTCATTTGGAAATGGTATTTCAAAAGTGGAATGAACTGATTGTGGAATAGCACTTTGCAATATTACTTAAAATAGGTTAATTGGCACCTTAGATATATGTTATTGAAACCAAGTTGGGTTTTGTGTCTTTTACCAATAAAAATCGTCAAAGACAATGGAAAATCGTTGGCAAATTAGACTTTGAAATTCAGAAATTTGTGATGTCATCAGCCCAAAGCGCTATTACTTGTACACAAGAATGGAATGTTGTTCAGTATCTTATAAACAAAACTAATATGGACTCATTCCAGTATCATGAGAATAGCCCCATGCACAGTAACTCACCTTTTTTGATCCATTTCAACAAATTCATATTGCACTTCCCTCTCAAAATAAAATGAATAATTGTATTACTAAACCACAGCAGGATTAGCTCAGTCGGTATAAAGAGTGCTTGATTGCAGAGTGGGAGGTTGCAGGTTTGATTCCTGGGACCAGACCAACACTCGGGGTCTTAAAATGACTAAGAAATGAAGGTACTGCCTTTGCCCTGCAAATAGCTTTGTGTGGCTTGTATCACCATGTAAAATGGCCATCCCATCTCCAGCAGGAGACATAATACTAATGAGAATAGTGTCCCCAATTAGCACTTTCATGCTAAATACATTGACACTCAAATAAAGTGCCTTTTTTAACTAAAATAAACCACCTTTAAAGAAAAAAGGTAATTTCCAAAACATTAATGTGATCAGATAATGCCATGGAATGAGCTTAAGACTAACCCCCCACCAACCTCTAAAAGAAGGCAGACTTGATTTTGACTCTCAAGACTGAGCAATCTTCCCAGTCCTATAATGTCATGCAATTCATACACTGGGAATGAACCCAAAGTTGAAGCAAATTGGGTTAATAATAATTTAAAATAGCAGATTAAACACAGCAGAGAAACTTAAATACCAATCAATCCTTAAGTTAAAACACAGACGGACAAAATTAGTTGAAGAAAATCAAAACAGTGTGCTAGACTAGTTCCCTTTCTAAGAAAAGTTAATCTTGACTGTTTGAGCTTTTGAATACACAGGAGAAATATTTGTTTGCCATAAACTTGCAAACTTGTCAGTACCACATTTTAGTTTCATAAAGAATTAAAGAGTACTTACAAGGAAAACAAAACAAACCATCATTAATACACAATCCCTTTCTTTTTAATGTACCATTTTCAGACCAAACATCAAATTGACTGGGACTCACGCCACTGAATCGTACATATAGTCAAGAGTTACTGGCACTGTACCAATGAATGCTGGGGAAAAAAAATGGTAATGGCCCCACGTGGCCTGAAAAACACAAAAAATTGACGTGACACATGCCTTCACGTAAACTTCGCTTTGTTTAACATGTAATTTGTATCAGTCAAAACCCTGTTTTGAGCTTAGAAATGGGCTGCTTTAGTGTTTACAATGTATTTAAGCCCAGTAAGACTTGCGTGAATTAATTTTAAAGGTCATGGTGAGCTGCAAGAAATCCTTGAAATTTCACTTGCTTAGAATTCTTAATGAAGTGTAGTTTTTCAAGAGTCCTTTTTCCTACCTGGTAAATCAGGTCTAAAAAACGGTTTCTTCACAAACAATTAACTTGGACTAATCAGTTATGGTTTATTCAGGCTGGAAATTCATATTGTTTTTGGTCTTCGGCCGCAAGACCCCCAAATTCATGTGCTGAACTTTTTCAACTTTGTTCTAGTTTTCTGTGGAGAATTGTCACCATTTTCTTATTGTTAGAAAAAGCAGTATAGCGCCCGGTAACCGCAAGTCCTTCGTCAAGAAACCTTACTTCCATTGATGCATTTCGATAAATTAAAAAAGCCCTCCCTCTCTTTTAAGCCTCTCCCCCCTTCAAAAGTGCTTGAAAAAAAAAAAAGTCCCCCCCAGGGGGCTTAACAGAGGATTTATGGTAGTTTTCACCAGTATGCACCTGTAAACCATGGTACAAAGGTGATGTTTAGCTTGCTCAAAGGTGATGTTTAGCTGGCTACATTTTAAGAACATTTAAATCGACTTATCAACTTTACTAGGCTGATGAATTTCTTCAAGAATGTAACAATCTAAATATTGGGATCTGAGTGTTAAAATGGACTGAATGCTAGCTGATTTGACATGGAGTCAATCGAATTTCATCAGTCAACTGTCGCTAAGCCCACTCATATGTATATGTAGTAAAAAATAAATGGGGAACAACAAACAAACAAACAAAACAAAGTGTAAAAAGTGTACCTAACAGAACCTACGGGAAGTTAATAAGACATTGGTCGGTGCGTTGCAATATATCAACTTCAGAGTTACACTGTGTAACAAAGCTGATTTTAACGCTGTGACTGTGACCCTAACCTGCAATCACGTGGGAATTATTTTTTCTCCTTTGCCTGTCTGCTTACCTCCCACTCCCTGTTGTGCGGGTAATCTTTTAGAGGACAGATAGCTTACAAACCAAACTGAACGCAGAGTTGTTGGAACAGGAACAAGAAGATCTATTCCAAAAATGAATGTAGTTTCCACAAAGTAAAACTCTACAATAGCAAGTAACTCGTTAAACTTACACGGCCTCCGCCAACTGCACTTAACTTGATAAGCTTACATGACCTCCGCCAACTGCAATTAACATGACCAACGTCAAACTCTCTACGCTTGTGGAAACTAGTTAAAACTTCGCTCGGACTCGCCTACCTATATACCTTCACAATAAGATTCTAGAACTTTCTAAATAGTTTAATTATAGGAAGATTACAAATTAATATACCGGCACCGCTTTAGAAACGCTAATACACAAGACACTAAAATAAAGAAACTATGAACTCTCGCAAAGCTTGTAGAAAATCACGCTAGTCACACAATACAATTTTTCATAACACTCCCCACCCTCTATTCTGCCCCACCCGCTCCAAATGTCAGTCGCTGACCCAAAATATGTTTTCACTCTATTTTTCACATGACAATTCCGGAACAGAAAAACAATTGTTCATAATTGCTTGTAGGATGCACAAACGTCTCCAACTTTAATTTAGTTTCCGAACAGTACTAAAAATGAAAAAAATCCAGTTACCTCCATTACACAGCTACAGGAAATTTATCACAATCAAACTGTAAGATCAGTGTTCCAAGAAACTCATGGCTATATACATTGGTGTATCAAGAAAAAATGAATGTATATGTATGGGATGATGGTGTGGTTTGTTCTGATATGCGCCAGAAGAGGTAAAAAACACAACAAAACAAACAAACTTCCAACCAGGTGAAATAACTTTTCCTGGATAACCGTTAAATTCATAACCCCTTTTCTGCGTTAAGGTTATTACATGCGTGCTCGTCAGCTCTAAACCAGACTTTTAAAGAACCTTCTTGGAGCTGTGTCACGAAATTCAGCCAAATAGGGAAATTACAAAATGCCCATTAAATTAAGAGAAACATAAAAAAAAACCGCTTAAAACTTTAAAAGAAGGTTAAAATACCATAACAGAAACATCAGATGCCACAGATTGGCAAAACTGAAGAAGATTGAAACGAATTGAAATTAGGGTTTTTGAAAACTGTTCAGCCTAACAGTTTTTCAAAACTGATCTCTGCTGCTTGCAACTTCAAAAACAATGCTCAGGAGACATATTTGTTGGTCTTGGTTCCCTGATTCTGTCATTTACATGTAATTTCTTTGCTTCTTTTAAGTTCCATAGCGATTGAGGGCGAATAATTGGCAAAATTAAACAAAATGAATTGGACTGCCGTGACACAGCCCCTTTCATATTATTATAGTTGTGGTTCAGTTACTTCCATTCACTTCCATGTAAGTACTTATAAGATGAACAGCAAGGTTTGTGACTCATTAAAATAAATATTACCTGTTTTGATTTCAGCCACTTATTTCCAAACCACTGGCGTAGTTTTGGATTGTGTTTCCAAACATCTGAGGTCAGTAAATCATTAACAGCTCTGTGATATTTTTCTTCGGTGGACGCTCAAGCGACACGTCTCAGGCGACACAGGACCTTCTCCTTTTTGTCAGAGACATCATTTTCCTTCTTCACCATCCATCTGTCCCAGGCTTGCTCACGATGGAAATCACAAAGGTAAACACTGCAACCTGTCCATGCACCATGTCTGCATCAGTTTATACTGGCTTCTAAAAGTGATACAATGACTATGTGTAATATAAGCTATCCATTCATTGACAACAGCTTATGAGTTTCTTGTTGCTCTGTTTTATGTGTGCTTAATCGTTAACATGACCCTAATAAAGACGCTCAGACACATGTATGAACATGAAAGAAATCTCTTTAGGGTTCCTTACAGACTTCTTAATATTAAAGCAAAGTGTCAAGATTTGGCTCTGGTTGTTCAAAACGTGGAATAGCAGTCTACCCACTGTATAAATTATTCTCCACTGTAGAGCATAAGTGGTTTGCCTATTACTTTCCCACTGATTTATCTGATGGATAAAGATATCCTGCACTGAGCTGTTGAACAACCAGAGACTATAGGATTAACCTAGATTTCATGTTATTTATCAGGTGTACACACGCCAAACAAAGTATGTGTTGTAGGTGAAATTCAGATTAAAATCACTTCAAACTTGCTTGTTATGAAATTTCCTTTGTTTGAAATTTGTGATAATGTGTCAAAGGCAAAAAAAAAAAAACAAAAGCAAAGTTAACATCAAATGAGTAATATATCTATTTCCTTTCAATGTAGAACGCATACATAACACATTATAAATGCAAAATACTGAGTTTGGTGATACCTGGAAATGTCTCCTCAACAGCATGGATTTCCTCCTTACAAAAATCAGTCATAAAGAATGATGGCTGCCAGTCAGGGTTCCAGTCTTTGATGACCTGCAAAGCTTCTTTAATGGAATCAATGGACTCATCTTGGAGAACAAAATTGTCACAACCTGATAGTCAACATTTGTTTTTACTGCTAAAAAGAACAGTGGTAATGCGTATCGTGTGGCCTTATACGTGGCATCCAAGAGGCAGATGTCATTGCCATATTTGCTCAATAGCCTTCTCTGTCAAGTTGTTCGATGGACAAAGAGGAATTTTTGATAGGACAGAGGAGACGTTACACGGATGTCCTCATCATCCAGGTCCTCTCTGTAGCTGGAATTGCTTACAACATCATTCTCAAATTTTGAATCATAAATGCCACTATATTTACGGAAGAAAAATTTGTCATTGGGGGTTTGCATTTGCCACTCCTTGACTTTTTCCTCTGCATTTGTTTGATCGCAGTTTGAAAATCTGCTCTTTACCATTGCACAGTACATGTGATTGTAGATATCTTTCTTTGTGGGAAAATACTGTTGGCTTGTTGGAGGTGGCATCTCATCTTCCAGGGAAGATCTCAATTCGAACAGATTCTCTCAAGTGTCTCCTCATCTCATCAACATCAGTGACACCCCTGTTCACCAAATCATGAATTTTGGTAATAACTCTTGTGTCTACGGCCTGGTTGATACCACTAGCCTGGGTGAGAGTAAGGATGCAGTAACTAATAATTGATGTACTTGTACTACATATTAAAGGAAAAGAGGATGAAAGGGTGGTCTGTATGTTTACCTCTCCAGTAATGTGGTACATGTGATCCTTGACCTCAGGAAGCTTAATGTAAAAATGGCATTCTCCAGTGAAGTCTTTCTGCCCTGACATGTGTTCTCGTACTTTTTCAGATGTAGTTCTCCGTCATTTGGGTGAATCAATGGTTATCTGGACAAAATGTAAAAATTTGAATTAATTGCAATAAAACTTGAACATTGTGCTGTAAATCTATAAGTCTGCAATCCCATTGATATACAATGCAAGGATCATTTTTTTTAAGCGGCCTGCATATTGCATGATTTTTAAAATGGCCCTTCCATGCACCCCTTTCAATTGAACCGCTTCCTACTCTCAAAGGTACAAAGGATTATTACAAAAAGATTAAATATTGTTACCTGAAACTGAGGAAATTTCATCACCTCCTTTACAATTTTTTGTGTGGGACAACCCATCTTCTTTGTGTCTTGTACCATTCTCTTTACTCTCTTGATGTAATGGTGGTCTTGAGCTCCCTCCTTTTTGGTTCACATGTAAAAGTAAAAAGAAAGAAAGCAGATGGAAAACAAAAAGATTATGAGCTTGCAAATTATATTCACCTCCATGAGATTATTGATTTTGTCTACTTTATGCTGCTACTTCATCCACTAACTTTTCCAATTTTAAGAGTTTAATGACTAAAATTAATTAATTTTAATCATTATTAAAATGATTATAGTAAGCTTAATATCCAATTGTAATGTTAGCTTGCCCTTCTGTGTTTCCATGCATTGTTGTACAATGTGGTGCCCTTGGGTGGAAATTACTAATGAGGATAATAATACTAATAATCATAATAAATGAATGAAAATAGATCTGTCTCAAAGGAATACAAAACCTAACCTTCTCAACCAACTCTTTCCTTTTACATGCTATCGACAGAAAAGAATTAGTGACCATTCTATCTACAGACATGAGTAAGGCTTTTGACCCCTATGTCACAATTTAGTCATCAAGAAGCTCAAAGCATATGGGTTTACTAATCAATCATTGGATCTAATTTGATCGTTTCTGAATGACAGATACAGTCGCATAAAACTAGGCAGTATTAGAAGTGAATGGTCTAAAATGTCACGTGGTTGTCCTCAGGGATCTTCATTTGGTCCATTATTATGGAACTTATTCCAGAATGACATGACCATGTTGGTTAAAGAGACAAACCTTTTCATGTATGCTGACGACCATCAGCTATATGTGACAGGGTTGGACTGCAACATCGCATCTTCCAGGCTACAAATATCAAGGAAAGTTAGCCATGTCATGGTACAGGGATAACTTTCTACTTGCCAACACAAAGAAGTTTCAATGTCTTACTATCAATCCAAGAAACATTGACTCAGATAAACAGACTGAGGCCCTGCAAATTGAAGACCAGATCATTGCCAACACTTCACAAATCATATTACTTGGAGTTGAAATAGATGACAAGCTTAATTTCACCAGCCATATCAGTAACATTTGCATAAAAGCCAGTCAAAAAGTCAGTGTCTTATTGAGACTGCGAAATTTGATACTATGCAAAGCAAAACTGATAATCTACAAATCATCCATCCTGCCTCACTTAACGTATTGCCATCTGGTATGGCATAACTGTAGATCTTTTGACAGTAGAAAAATAGAGCGGATTCAAGAACGCGCACTTAGAGCATTATTTAACTCCCATTCAGAATCATACGAAAACCTTCTGGTTCGAGCAGAGCTACCTTCACTACTACATCGAAGACTACAAGATATCGCTACATTAATGTACAAAGTAAATATGGCCTTGCACTGGGTATTGTTAACGAACTATTTAAGCGGAAAAGCACTAGTGATTCACCAAGAAACAGTGATTTTGATATTCCGACTTTTAACACTATTAACTATGGAAAGCATTCTCTTAGATATCAAGGACCTCATATATGGTCGAAACTAGAAATTAAATTGAAAGGCTCCCCGAATATTGAATCTTTCAAAAAGAACATTAGGAAAAAAGACCTAATGTCACTCTCTAGCTGCTGTAACCTTTGCAATTCTTAGAGACTACCTTATATATATATATATATATTAGCGGAGCTCTTGTGCGCGAAGCGGAGCACCATGGGTAAGAAAATGTGGTAATCTACCCATCTGAGAAAATTTGGTAATCATGTGACCGTACGCCCGGCCGTCCGCACCACAGGCCTACCAATGTAACATAACTCAATCAACAGGTATGGCAACCCAAATGCAAATCGAGGTTATTTTGGCGGGAAATCGCATAGCCACCCGCGTCTTGTAAAGCAGAGGCGGCTAAAAATTCAATAAAGACGAAAGCGGAAATTGTTTCTTTATCTGTGTTTTCTAAAGTATTAAGCTTAGATTAATTGTCATGTCCACAAATTTGCAATATAGAGCCTGAGAAAGACAAAAAAAAAAGATAAAAAGCAGCAGGCGAGCGAAACTCAACGACAAAAAGGGCGACAGAGATCTAGAGCGAGAGATAAAAAACAAAGGAGAAATTTTTTTGTTGGAAGAACAACAAGAAAATTTTGTGGCAGCGGTGACAAAATGAGAAATGCTGGCAGCCACCAATGCAAGAAGAAAATCAGCGGCAGTGAAAAAAAGTGAACGAGAACACGTACAACATTTCCTCCATAAAAACGTTTTTGGAAGTTTCACGTTGTAGTCGTCCAAAACAACGGCAAAGAAATGAACAAAAAAAGTGAGCTGCACGTGCAAAGTTGCTTTTTTGCTAATTAGACGTATTGTTGTTTTCCACTGTTCTCCGGCGTTGCCTTCGCCGCTTAGCATTACACAATTTTATATTTTGTTTGAACAAACTATAAATATTATCGAGAGCTTCGCTTTTAGCCCTGGCTAAATCTATATATTATTATTATTATTTCTTATTTGTAAATAATTTTTATTTTTGTGTCCCAATTAGTTGTGAAAACTAAATACATTGAGACATTAATAGAGCTTTTACTTACTTTCTGTTTCCTGCATGCTTCCTTTCTATCTTTTCCATTTCGACTGTCAAAAATCGTCTGGCCAAGTACAAAATATGGCTTGCCATCAAATTTTATAGTTTGGTCCTCCCACATAACTTTGTGTGAAGATGCTAATGGGTCTGATTGAAAAACATCTAGTATTAGTACAGTTTCTCTCTGATATACGAATAAAAAGCTACGTGGTCTTTTTCCTGATTACTTTTGAAAATCTCTTATTTGAAGACAATAGCCCCACTGATCATGTATTACTGTCACGTGAGTTAAGTATTTTATATTTTGATTTGTGAATCAGTTTTCAAAGGAAGCAGGGGGCTTCAGGTGTAAGCACAAGGGATATTCCCCGTAATAGCATATATGAGGATGTACCCGAAAGGGGTACCTTTTCAGGCTTCAAATGAAAGGGTTACCAGGTTTTCAGAAGAGTGGAGTATATGAAGGGGCAAAATAAGTTGTATGATTTTGAATAAAAAGGATCGGGGTGAAGGATAAGGAGACTTACTCTTACTATCAGTGATATCTTCATGCCAAGGATAAGTTGAGTAGGTATGTGCAAGGGGTAAATTTTTCTTGTAGCAAAAGGTGTATAAGGGACTTTGCCATAATTACCTCGAAGGGGGGTTGGGATACCAGATGGGGGCAAAGGGAAAAATCACAACCTTGCCCAGAGAGAAGTTGCCTGCACAACAGGTGTTATTGGGGGAGCTCAGGCAAGTTTTGAACTTTTTGAAAGGACTGTTGAACTTTCTTGTGGCAAATAGTTCTCCCCCACACCCCCTCCCACCAGTCGCTGAGAAGGTAGAGATGACTAACTGCTTCTTAATCTGTAAAAGCCAGTCACCGTTAGCGCGGAAAATACTGGTTTGCGTGCAGAGGCAGAGAGATCACAGGAAGGTACCCAACAACAATCACATTTTTTAATATCCCTGGAATTTAGTTTAGCAGCAAAATGCAACGCGCAGTTTCATTTAAAAAATTCAGCAAGTTAAAAAGTGATATACGGGCCTGTCCATGTAAGACGTTTAGTCTCAAACAAGATTCAGAACTGAAAGGGGGGTTCCCCCCCTGACCCTCCCACTGGCTCTGCGACTGGGATTAAACTGGATAAGCATCAATGCAATGTTTTGTTTTGTTTTTTATTCTCTGAACTGGCTCTATTTTTTTCCTTCATCTTTTATGCAGTAGGAAAGGAATGCCTATGTTATGTGTTAAGACAGTGCTACTTTGCTTTGTGCCTGAGCAAGGCATCCAACATGTAGGGAAGCAGTGGAGGAGGATGTAGGTCTTAAAAGTTATCCCCTTATCCTGAGAAAAAGACCCAGTCTTTCCCTTCTTGTAGTCAAGCTGGCACTTGTATACAAACATATACCTGCACCCCTACTTCACCTGTCCCTTTCACCCCCGCTTTCCCCTGGAACATTCATATACTTCCATATCCTTTGCAAAAACCTCAAACTCCTTCTGTTTTTCACACAGAAATCAGCCTTAATTTGCATTTGGCAATTTTATTTGATGAGTGCCACTCTGGTTGAGTACTACGAAACTAAATAGCAATAAAATGCCCTAAAAATAAATATGTAAAAACACACCAATGTTCCCAAAGTTTTTTTTTTTCCGCCATCCAAGGGGTGAAGGATGATTTTGTTCTTATCTCCCATTCTTTAACTATTTCATCAACTTTATGGCATTGTAGCACATAACCAAACGTGTTGGATATCTGCTTGTAAAAGAGGGTGGAAAGATATTGTGATGCAGTTCCTACATCACAAGCCATTGCTCAAAGAGCAGGAAAAATGAATAAACCCATACCCGCCAAATTTACATGCATTGAAATTTGAATCCCGCGCCAAAATGATCACCGAAAGGCGGTTTGAGTTATGGAAACAAAGTCACGCAGGGTACTATTGACTTGCTTCCATAGCTGGAAGCGCCCGAATAAGTCAGTATATAAAAAAGCGATTTACAGACCGAACTTGAGCTGCTACAAACTTGAAGTACTTTAATAGTTTTATATTTAACATTCCAAGGCAAAAATGAATCAATCGGAGGTATTAAACCATAGAACTGGCATGTAAACAAACCGTCTAAGAGTATCGGCAGTTCGGCAGTTCGGCCTGAACTGTTGATATGCGTGATCAGAATTCATTCCCAGGCTCTTCTTTCCAAGGGCGGTTTGAGATGTGGAAACAAACGTTTACCATTGCCTAGCTTGGCAGATGTTGTACCACTAAGTAAATCTACCGAGTTGTGAAGCTCGATGGCCGTTGTGCCACAAAGTAAATCTACTAAGATGTGAAGCTCAACGGCGCCATTTCAACATGACTTGTGGTATTTTTGGAACCAGACAAATGAACATTTTAGGTCTACGTTAGTTATTCTGAAAAACTTACAAACAGCCCACAGTAGCTCCACTCAAGTCACTGAAATCAACACAGTCGACCAAATTATGGCACTTGTTGAGATGAACC